GGGGAAAGTATTTTGTTTCCCCTGGTGAAATATTTTGCCTATTTGAAAGTTTCTACATGGCGTGTTCAGATCAAAGCCCTCGGAGCTCTTTTCACAGTCCCTCCATGGACTGAGCAGAAGGGATGTCCATTTCCAAGGCGTTGCTGTTTTCTGGTAGCCAAGATGTGTTGCCCACCTTCAGCCAAACACCAGCGTATTTTCACTGGGAGAATGCCAGCAGGGAATCCAGATAAAAAAAAATTTTTTTCCGAACATTTCTCCAACAGCTGTAAATTTTTTCTTAACGCAGGACGCTAATAAAAGCCAGGTTACACCAAAGCCACTGCCAGACTAGTGCTACTGGGAGGTGGTTTTTTTTAAGCTGCACCAAAGGAAAAATTTCAGCATTCAACTCGCTCATTACTTGAAGAAACAGAAGCGTACCCCCTGCCTTTGCCCTGTCCTGGGGGAGACGGAATCAGATGTGAAGGCCATGTGCTGGACTCAGGAACGTTTGTCCAATCTCCTATTCCCTCTCCACTTTTTCCACTATGAGTCCTCGCTCTCCTGACATTGTATTTTGCTGATCGTAACCACAAGGTTTTATTTTATGAGCTGTTATACCAGGAAAATGGTATTCTTTGCACCCTATTTGTTAGAACTTGTTTGTGACAGCAAGAGATTGGTAATTCATCACTCTGTTTCTCCTAGCTCCACACAGCACCCCAAGCATGACCAGTCTTGGGAGTAGAAAAACGAACCCAGCCCCTACTCTTGGCAATTTGATTCCAACATAAAGCACACAACAAACAGTCATGGAAAAGGAGTTTCTTTCGGCCTCCTCCACACCTTCTTTCTCTCCCCGGAGTCCTGAAGCACACTCGAGTAGGTGTTTGTGTGCAGCTAATTGGCCTGAAGAACACTATATCTTCAATGGCCCATTGACTATAAAGTGATTGAAACAAGATGCTAATTTTAACTGTTCAGCTTAGCTACGTCAATATTGGCTTGCTGGGGAGGGGAGTCATGTCCGCTGAGTCCAGCTATCAAACAGCTCCCTGCAAAAGGTCCAGCTTCCAAAAAAACCAAACCAACCTACCAACACAGCCTGGAACTGGAAGGTCAACTGATGTGTCCTTAATACATAAAATACGTGAGCTCGAGGTATGGATTGCCACGGTATTGCTGTGCAGACTTGCACGCAGGAATACAAGCACACACACTGCGGCAATATGAAGGCAGAGACGGGTACTATGTATCCTTTTCTAGGCATAGGCATGTTGTTGGTGATGTTAGTGATGTTGAAACATCAATATGGAAGCAAATAAAGTAAATCTTGACTAGTGCTGTCAGTCTCCAAGCAAAATAGAGGGAAGGCATAGAGATATTTTGTTTGAAATGTGCTTCACCAGGACAGACAGTCAAGGTTTCCTTGGAATATCTAAACCTGTTCTGAATCCAATGAGTATTGATGCCAGTTATAGATCCATTTAGTTAACGCATTGGCTGAACCAGACCTAAATTCAGCTCGCTGATACAGACCCAGTGTCAGGGTGTAGAGGAACGATGCAATGCAATGGGACATGGAATACAAAGAAGGAACAGAAATCTGGATCCAGAATTTAATTTCATATTCTTATACAGCTTGCTGGTATAACATTTAGGCAGTTGCTTCAGCCCTATATCCAAATTTATACACCTGTGAAATGGGTATAAGAATTTCTTGCTGGGTACTAGAACTTAATTAAATCATTTAGGCAGTTAAAGATTTCCCACATTTTAAAACGAAAATAGTGATCTCATTCACTAGAAAAGAACATGCTCCTACCTTTCTACCAGGTGGTCCAGGGAACCCAGTCAAACCAGGTAAGCCCACGTCTCCCTGCAGGAAGCAAGCAAGTTGCATTAGTTTTCAGCAATGTTTTCCCTATGCCTAGCATACTGTTACTGAAATTATTTTGCTGACAGTAGCACCCAACTATTGATATTTCTGATTCTAATTGCAAGTCTTTAAAAACTGACTGGATAAGAAGTGTAGATTTAGACATCATCTCTATTAACTGGCTCATATAAATAATAAACTCAGTTAATCAATGGCAGCTGCTGCTGGAATCCAGCTTTTTGCCAGCAGAATGAATGCCTTTTTTTTTTTTTTTTTTCCCAATTATTCAGTCACATGGTTCATTTGCCTTTCGATAGACATCTAAATTGCCAAGGAAAGAAAATTTTAACTTTTAAATGCAACAAGAACAACAGGTACCTCCTGCCAAATCCTATGATTGTGCTCACACTCTGCTACTGCACTGGATCAGCCCACGGCTCCAGCTCAGATGGCGCTGATGTTGTAACTATTTAACCTGCCTATATGACACGGATTGAACCTTTGCAGGCTGCTGGTGGGAGGGTTTTTTCGGTGGCCTGTACTTTTGAAAAGACATTGCATCACATCCCAGCTGGCATACCCAAATCATCACAGGAACGGAGAAGCGCGTTGCTGAGACCTCTCTGACATCCAGTCCCCGTTCGTACAAGCCCCGTTTGGCCGCCTCTGATTAGGATCAAAACCCCCTTTAGAGTCTCTAACATTGTGCTGTGCCTGCTTACTGAAAATGTATTTGGAGTATCTAGCTTGAAAATTAGGCATCACTCCAAACTCCTGCTGGAAACTCCTTGTTTCTATTACTGCTAACAGGAATAAAGCCTTGTTAACATGAGCTAAAACTGATCTGGATCTCTCCCCTCCTTACACTGAGCATGCTTGCAAGAAAACGGTTCCAGACTCTGCGGGTAGATGATTTCCATGTGATGCCATTCCGATGTAGCGTACCAGAAATTTCAGAAGGCATCTTGTGCTGTTAAGTTAAAAGCATCATTTCAGACTTAGCCTTCTCAATGTTTTCTAGCACCACCCTCCATCTTGCATTTGTGTGGCTTGCTGTGCTTCATGGAGGCATCTGGTTTCAAAAGAAGGGCCTAAGTTCTTTATGGACGATGCTTTCTTTTAGCTGTGCATTTATAGCAAGGCTTATGATGAAAGGAAGAGAACCAGGCTTCTTGCCCTGGACGTGAGTTATGAAGTATTGTGCAGGCACTACTGAAAGAACTAATTGAGGTAGATGTTGTGGAGCCCTGACC